ACTACAGAGATGAAAAGGAACAAATTATTCCTATATCAAAAGAGGAAGTTGGACAGAAGAAAAACATATCCCAGAAGAAACTAATAGAAAGTTAAAATACAAGATCAAATACATTGAATTTCTTACCTTGAGAAGAAAGGTTGAAGAGATGCATCAAAAAGGAGAGAGGCTCAGATACTTTTAGAACAAAATGGGTATATTTCTATTGAAATACCTGATACAGAAGATAGTTTTGTATGGATGGATAGTATGAATGACAAATAATACAAATATATTATATTTGAAATAAACAAAAATGCTTACACAGTATTCACTTGGAAACAAACTCTTGCTTGACTGTATTACTGAGCAAAGAAAAAGCTGAAGCACAAATACCCTTCTTATTTGATATATATTTGGAGACAGGTAGGAAGATACTACTTGGTTTTAAAAAACTCACCTTCCCTTAAGACCTGGTCATAGAATTGTAAACAATGTAAATGAATCTACCATTACCAGTTGTCTTATCATATCTATGTCACCTGTGTATTCTGAGATCACATACATACCTGCCAATATACCTGGAAAAGGTTGCTATATCACAGTTACACTTTGTTTCTTGGCAGGCAGGACTGAGGAATAGTAATTTGGAACAAATTTTATATCCTACTTAGAAAACACTAGTATTCCCTTAAATAAATACAGTAGAAAGATACTGCCTGTAAGTTACGTTTAAGGTTTTGTGATTTACAGAGTTGATTCATTTGCTTATAGTATAAACCTGCCACAAAGTGTTAAAGCACAAGATATGTATTATTCCTTCAGCATCTGCATTTTCAAATTTTATACTCTACTACATCCACAGTATGTCTGTAGTTCTTGTATACTTAGAAAAATAATACATGAATAAAACTCTTCTAAAAATGCAGATGTCTATAACTACAATGGTATTAAGTGGGAAGAAGACAATGAGGGAATGAAGAAAGCAAACATATTCCATGTGCAGGGAATGTGGTTCAAGTCTTTGGATTTAAAAATGAGTGCCCCCCAGAGAAGCTGGCTGTCATGGAATTTCCAGAAAACTTCCTTTGCCCCCCAAAATGGACCTG